ACTTTTTATATTAATTGTGTATTTTCTGTTCTCTGGTTATATAAAGGCTATATATTTGAGTTCTTGAGATTGAGGTGTGATAACCTGGCTTTCTATGAAGATTTTTTCTGCAAGGTAGAGACTTTTGGCAGTCTGAAGAAAATTGGTCTTATAAGCATAAAGGTTTCGTACTGAGTTAGGTTTCTTTCAGTGCTGTTTTCATGAGAGTGAAGAGTTGAGGTCAATTAGCTTGGAAAGTTTTCTACTCTGTACTTCTACAGAATGACCTATCTATGGAAAAAGGGGACATCAGACATATAGGAAAACAGTTGTACATTTGACTCGTTAGCCAGTCATCTTCACTAATGGAGTTTATTCTCCCTTCTGAAGGTCTCTTAGCGGTGAAGAGTGGAGTTTTTCTCAGAGGTCTGTAACTTATCTGAGCTGGCTGGAACAAATATTTTGTGTTTGAGTGCACACAGGTCCTTGGGAACAAAATTGAGGTCACTCTCACAGTGGGAGGCTCTTCCCGTTACTTTGGAAGTGGCAGCAATACTTGAATATGCAAAATAATGGGAATAGTTTCCAGCTCTCCTGGCTTATCGTCCACAGGCTCCAGCTGCACACTGTGATCTGCAGGTGTGTGTAGGGTGTTCTCCAGAGAGACCTCCCAGGGGAGGACAGGGACAGAGCTCTGGGGTCCCCCCTCTCCTGTTGTTGCACTTGGTTCCTCCTGGTGCCCTTCTGTCTGGCAAAAAGGGGACTTTGAGTAGCTCTCAGGAACTTTCAGTCTGTGATTGCACCTCCCCTGACCTGCCAAGGTAGGAATGTGGTTAATTGAAGCATCTGCCAGCTCTGTTGGTGGTGTCACTGAAGGGCCTGCTGTGAAAGCAGTGTGCACTGATCTGGGAAATGTGTGCTCTGTAAGAATCACTGTCTGTTAAAATGCAGACACAACAGGAGTTTCTAAACTGAGTAAAGCCATATTTCAGAGTATTTCTGGAACACTTCTCATGTCTTTAACCACCTATTTCCTTTCAAAGAGAATGCAGTGAGCAGCAGTGTTTATTGATCTTCTACACCCAGCCATTTTCTCCCATGAATAGACTTGTTTCTCCCTGGTTCTGTGTCTTCCCATTTTAGTTTTTAAGGTGCACACAGATGTATACTCTAACCCCTGGAATAGAGCCTCTACATCTGATACATACTCTGCCCTTGCTAACACCATACATGTGTGTGGATTAACCAGAATTAAAGTTACAGCTCAGAGAATACACTTGCTGTACCAAGTTTACCAGGAAAATAAATTGAAGATAGTGTGCCTGAAAGGGTGTGAAGTACAAGAACAGGCTTACTAGAGTTGATAAAAGAACCATATTCTCCTAATATTCTTTGTTTAGTACAATATGTTAATTCTGGATTATTCCATATAGTCACACAAGTCCATCCTTCCTGCTGGTCGGACTGGGGAGCTTCATCCAGACTTGATGTAGTCAGAGACCTGTTTATCTGAAGAAATTTCAACAGTCCAATATTGGAGTGTTTACTAAGTTTAGGAAATGGTCTTGGTTTTCACTTTCTCCTGTTTTCTCATCTGAACTCTTCCGTTTCCTATCATCCTATCAGGCAGCCATTCCTAGGCAGAATGAGTACTACATCAGAGGAGCCATAAAGAAGTTTCCAGGACTTGAGCAGGAAGGCCAAGACAGTGAAATAGGGGAAATGGTTTCAGGTGTCCAGCTCAAGGTGCACGCAGGTAATAATGGACTGTTCCTCAGCTGAGGACAACTGCTGTCAAGTTATTTGTGGGGTTTCCTTTCAGATAAAAAATAAAATAATCTGGTGATAATGCCTGTATACAAGGCTAGAAGGAACGACTGATGCATGTGGGATGCAGATAGCGGCTACTGTTTCTGCCATCTGTAGAAAGGGACTAAAGCAAATGACACAGATGTGTGTGGGTGAATGAGGGAACTCCATCCAGAGACAGGACAGATGTGGCATCTCTTGTGCATTACAGGATCTTGTTGAAGGACTGTCTGCATGTGCTGTGGAGTCAGCTGGCAGGCAGCACACTAGAGCAGCTTGCTGTTTGACTTCAGTCTCCCTGTAATCTCTCTAAAGAACACATTTGGACTGTGCTCCTGGAATGAGTCATCTTGCTTTTCCAAAAGTGTGCCCATCACAGACCAGGAGAGTTTATTAGAGTGCTTCTACTTCTGAGTTATGCATGTCAGGCAGGTAAAGTCATCTCAGATTTTTGAAGCAAAAATGCATGTGAAGTCTGATAACCCTGATTTGCAGTACAAGTTTCCAGGGGAATTTTTCATGGGCAGTCAAAGCACCACTTGCAGTCGTATCAAAGTTGCCGTAAAAGAAATCCAGTGTAGTCAGGTGATGTAGTCTGGGTCCAGCTACTAGAACGCTTCCAGGGCACTCTTATCTTTCCATTTTCATCGCTGCCTCTCAGCTCAGTTAGTCTCATTAGGAGTGCATCCTTTGGAGTAAGGACACAGGGTAAAACTGCTCTACAGGTGTATGGTGAAAATCACAACAGCAATGGGGCAGCTCTTTCCTAGCATGAAATACAAATCCACCGTAATCAATGGCTTGTAGGCTGGGTAACCAGGAGCGGAGTAGCAAGTACTAACACTAAATGATATCTGTGCTGTCTCTGTAGGTGTTTCAGGTTGAGCTCCTACAAGCTTGGAATGCAAAGAAGTTGTGTGCTTTACGTATTTTTAACCATCATGTATTTCTTGCAAAGCCTCTAGTAATGTGTAAATTAATGCACAGACCACAAGGATGTTTTGTGTAACTTAATGCATATTTTTTCAGATACTGAGCTGGATCTCACCATAAAGACTGTGAACTTTGCTCTTGATGTAATAGAAATATGGGAGTACATAATTCACATTGATTCCCTATTGTCAGTTAGTGTGTTGGTAGGTAAAAACTAAATGATGAGGCCTGAATTGATGAATCCTCTGGGCACTGAGGGTCACTGTGTATAAATATGTAAGAGGGCCCCCAGAGAGGAAGTGTGGGATTGGCAAAGCCAGGTGGATCTCAGGCAAAGACAGACTTCCTTTTGATGCACAGGGTCTCTTTGTGAGCAAAAATTCTTCTCTGTTCCAAACTGAGACCACAACATTTTTAGTGAGGAAGAAAAAAACACAATCAGACTTTAGTACCAAGAGCCTGGGAATGATTGTAGTTACTTAGAGAGGTAGGATTGCTTGATGAAAATTGAGATGCAATGCATGATTAAATGTTCATTTGGTTGTTACACTCATGGTTCAGTCCTGTCATTACCACAGTTCACTGCAGGTGTCCTACTGCTGCCTGGAAGATGATGGCTGATGGCAGAATGAAAGGAGAAGGAAAAGCCTGTAGTGTGTAGAATGCCTTTCTTTTTGTCAATTAGTTGTCTAAATCAAAAAAGCTATTTTAGAAACTAAAGTTGACTAACAGCAATTAAGAATTAGGCTCTGAAAAAGTTAAAATTCATTGTTATTTGATATCTTCAGTACGCAAATGCCTGGACGCTTTTATCCACTAATGATGTTTTAGCTTCCATTCTCACCTCTCATAATAAGCCTGAAGAACACTGAAGATGAATTGAGCTGGTAAGTCACCTGTCTTTCCACCTGTGGAGAAGTTTGCTGCCATTCCTGGAGGGATTTCAGAAAGGATTCCTAGCACTTCACTGATACCATCTCTTGTAACAGCCTCTGCACACACACACACGGATTCTGAAGTTGTGTCCCAGTGTCAAGTGAACTGGAGCCTGGATATGCTTTTAAATTTACCAAAAAACCTTGCAAAATTACTGTTTCCCTGTGGGTGACTCCCAGCCTGTGGCAGTGCCGTGGGTCATGGCCTGCAGGGCAGAGCTGCTCTTCATCTCCTGGCTGATGCAGCTGCCAGCTGATGTCTGGCAGAATAGTGAACAGGTGGGAAGGGATTACTAGAGCACAAACATCAATCACATCATGGGTTCTTGTGCTGGTACCCTGCTCTTAAACTTGCTGGAATAATAGCTGGTATAACCAAGCTATACTCCACTACTTAAATCAAGGTTAATTTTAGCCCAGTGGTTTTTGAATTTAAATTTTTCAGGCAGAACTTGTTTTTGAAATATTTATAATTGCTGCTTAGAGTTTTGCACACAAATTTGAGTTGCATCTGTATTGAAGAAATTTGAGCATTCCAGTAGGTGGCTCTTCAGTGCCCCTTTGCAACCTGCACTGGGGGAAAAAGAAAAGAAGAAATAACTGACAAGTAGAGAAGTGGGACAGAAGATTATAGGTGTCTCTAGTTTCTTTTCAATATTTATTGTTATATTTTTTGAATATTTTTCCTTTTCTAGGTTTCCTGGCTCTGTCCCTCTCAATCTCTTCTTGTTCATCACGAACCCAGTCAGCACTGTCAGAAGGCTTGGCTCATATTTACTTCACAGTTCAGAATTGGTTCTTCTTGCAAACATTTAAAAAGGAAAAAGAAAAACAAACAAACCAAAATGGTATCTCACATTGTCCTGTGTTTCTGTATTTTAAATTGAAGTGTTTAAGAAGCTGGGTCTTAATGAGCTTTTAGTGGAGGTGAGATAGCAAACTGTGTAGCTGCCTGAAAATACCTTTTTGGGTGTCACCTGACCCAGTGCCTTCTCAGGTACCTGCTGCTTTGTGAGACTCACATGGCATTTTTGTGAGACTCAGTAACAGCACATGACAAGAGAGGCAGAGCAGGATGAAAATCAGTTGTATTCTCACAAGTGGAGCTCAGTGCCTGTTTTATCGCTTGTGATTTGGGTTGGGAGAAGAACTGACCAGTTCTGGTGTTTTGTTCCTTGATACCTGGTGAGGAGCAGCCCAGCACTGCATCTCCCGTCTGAAGGAGCTGGACAGAGGTAAGACACTGGCACACCTTTTCCTGTCTAGCCTTAGTGCATCTGGCAACGGTCAAAGTTTGGCTTTTCTAGCTTGTTTTTTCTGCTGCTTTGCCAGCATTACAGATGGGATGTATTAGCATGTCCTTAACAACAGCCACCCCCAAAAGCCCCAGCGCTCACGACATACAAGTTTATGAGAAGATGGAATTTTTTCACTAAGGCTGTTACTGTGGGCGTGGTGGGGAGCTGGGACAGGGCCCCTGAGGGGCCTGTGTGGAGCCACTGAGCTTCCTGGGTTGAGGTGACAGTGCTGGATTGTCATGTCCCAGGGCTGAGAGAGCAGTATTAGGTCAGGATGGTCATTTATGTCACGCTGTTTGCAGAGTGACTGCCACTTTGGAAGCAGCACAGTCACACTCATCTTGTGCTTGACCTGTGCCTGCAGCCTCTCCTGCTTTGGGCACAAAGGTGTCAGGCCCCTACACCTGTGTCCTTTCCAGTTTCTCTCAAGAGCCTGGTGACAGGGAGGTTCCTGGTCTTCCCAAAACTCCAACAAAAACTTTGGTTTTTCCTGCAGCTTTCCAGCTTTTTTGTATATGTTTTGCCATGGAGGTCTGTGTTTGTCTCTTGGTAGTTCTGCTTTGTGTGTGACCCTTTCCCCTTTGGGCTAGGACCTTTTCCCCTTTCCATGATGACTCCTCAGAGTCTTCCGGCCTCCTACCCACCTTATGTTCATAATAAATAAAATATTTGTGTTCCATTTGTTCACTTTGGTGGGTTTTGTCCATGAAGAGAACCTTCTGACATCACTCAGATCTTGGGTAGTATCTGAGATGGGGCAGTAGTAGGTGACATTGGAGGTGTTGCTGTTTGAGGTGATGCCATTTCATTGACTCTGAATACCTTCCTGTTGTGTTGGGATCTTCCCATCTCTGTAGTGTTGCCTTCCTAGCACTGCTGAGTGCCAGCTTGGAAGAGCTTCCATCTTCCAGAGCAGTGCTAGCAGTAGCAGAAAGGATGAGATCAAACCTTTTATGGCTTTGAGGATTTGCTCTGTTGTCTGAGTCCTTTCTGATAGAAATGTCAGTTCTTGTGACCCAAGAGTTTTGGGTCCAGATGTCAGCTTGATTTGAGTGAGTTTTAGAGCTCTAGATCTGCACACTGACAGGAGGATCCCATCAACCATCACTGCTTCTTAGAACATTCGGTCACATCCATTTGAGGGAAGTGATTTTCTTCTGGGTTCTTTCATCTGTGGTCTCTGGCCTGTGCTGGATCATGAGCCTGGCTTAGCTTATGTCTCTTGATCTCTTTAGGGTTCAGGAAATGAAGATTTCTTTGGTTTCATTGCTATTTTAGGGAAATAGGATGTTGTGATCGCAGCTTGAATATTAAAATCTGTAGATTCTCTGAAACTGGTGGGGTTTTGTATTTATGGCTTCTGGCCATTAGTCTTAGAAGATGCTTTTAGGGAGCATGGTAGTGCAGTGCCTCCTGCAATGGCACCTTGCTGGTGGCATCTTGACAGGTATCATCACTTAAACTTGTGTAGGCAGCACAAAATCTTGCAGCCTGCCTGTTTGTCTTTCATGTGAGTGCATCAATCATTTAGGAATTTAAATCCGTGCCTGTTCCTAGTGGATTTGTCTCAAATAAAGTGTAAGTAAATGCCAGTTAATGTCACTGCTCCACAACATTATGAAATGCCTAAGTGACTGTTGCGTTTATTTCATCTGCAGAATGTTCAGAATGATGCATCTTGGAACAGTTTCTCTCTCCTTAATGGGCAGTTTGGAAAAATTAATGATCTGTTCCAGAGTAGCTGGGATTTCTTTTTGTTCTGCATTCTCAAGAGAAGCATCCAACACACGACAGGAAGAACAGAGTTAAAAAGAAGAAAGATTTGCCACTAAAGTCAAAGATCTTGGATATTTATTGCTTAGCACGGACCAACCCTCCTAACTGGTATTCAAGGACAGAGGTGTAGAAACAGCTGAGATCAGCTCTGGCAGTTCATCACATTTCTTTTAGTGGACTGAAGCAGTAGCTCAGGTGAGCATCACCTGCGTTCTTGTTTCCACATTCAATCCTAAGCTTTTATAGATAATTATACAGATGCAAAGACTCATAGCTTATTTTGAAAAAAACTATGAGGATCTTTCTAAGTCTACCTCAGTAATTCAGGATATTTGGTGACATGGGAAATAGGTGACTTTGTTTCACTTACCTTTGACTTTATAGAGAGGCAGAAGGGCAGTTTAACACCTGCTCAGACTCACTGCAGGAGTAAATTAATATTTACATATTAATATTGCTCACTAGCAGTCTCAACTAATTCACCACATTAATGAAGAGCCTTTTTTGAGATTGTGAATTCTATTTTATTCACTTTTGCTGCTTTTGTATCTGCTGAATGCCAGGTCCCCCTTTTCCATGGGGTAGGATTGGAGAGCCTGTACTCTTTTGTAATAACTGTCTCCTGTTTGAAATGCCATTATTTCTGGTTTGTTTTTAGATGGTGAAGGATAGACACTGTGATGGGCACTAAAGCATGGACTTGCAGTGTGCACTGGTGGCAGGTACTCCTACCTGGTCCTGGTGGTCTGACATATCTGGGGAAGGCTTAGGTGCTTGTGTGTCTTCACTGTGGTTTTCTCCATTTATTATTTCAGTGCTGATGGAAATGTTTGTCTTTATTTATAGCATATCCAAGAGCTGTGTTGCAACAGAGAAGGTAAGTTTACAGGTGGGGGCTAGGGGTGGAATGAGTTGACAACCAAGCTCCGGATAGTTAATCTGTTCTGGGTTTTTTTCTGTTATAATCCCTAAAGTTTTATAGGCAGCTCTCAGATTGATCAGACAGCTGCTGAAACCATTACAAAACCAATTTGAGAATTGGATTTTTAACCATTCCTGAAGTATTTATTTATCCTTCAAGATATAGACCCAGATGCAAAGTCACCAGTCTGTTCAGTGAGATGTTTGTCTTGTTCATTTTGCTGATTGAGAATTAATGCAGCACTTGTTGCTAGAAATTATTGAGCTGGTTGTGCTCACTTTTCTCTGCTGTGAGCTCAGGCTCTCCTCTCTGTGATGGGGGACTGCTGGCTGCTGTGCTATAAAGACAAGAATTCCTGGGTTTAGTCAAGTTTAGGTCTGTTTGTTCTGAAGCCTAATAAAAGCATTAGCTAATATATATCTGGATTCTCTGATTTGGGTTCTAAAGGACTTGCCTGCAAATGCACATGGGTTACCTTGCTTTGACAGGTAATTAAGTCTGGATTTCTTCCTTAGATAACCAAAGAAACAGTTTCAGATATGCTTTGCTAGGCAGATCCATGTGTAGACAGCAAGGTTTTATTATCCATGGGGAAAAATGCACTCCAAGGGCATGAAATCCAGATTACCTGAATGAAATATCTTAATGCCCCAACCTGGAGAATGATGTATAAGATCCAGAATATGACTTTTGTTTTAACCATCATTAAAGTTGTGTGTACAATCTGTACTTCTGCAGGAATGTGAAGCATCCCAGGGATTGGCTGGCTGCCTGAAGAACCCTGGCACCTGCCTGTCGTGCCAGGGACCTGAGCAGTGACGTGCCCACAGCAGCAGTTCAGGTGGGTGTGTTACCCGTGTTTGAAGGCTTTTCTAGTTCTCTGCATTGTACCAGAAACTGCACGTGCCTTGTACAGTCTGTTTGCTCCTCTTGTAATGCCCAGTTTTCCTAATAAACATCTTTAGAAGTCTCTGCTTTGTGGCTGATTTCCAAGGGTACAAGTGTTCCCGTGGTTACATCCTTGGGATGTGGTCTTTGGATCACATGTAGGATGATGTAGGAAGGAGCCTCTCTTCCTTTGAGGAGAAACTTTATTTGAAGCTGCCAGACCCATGCAAGACCTTTGCTGGTAGCTTCTCTGTTTTGAGTATTTTCTTGGAATGTCCTGATGCTTCAGATCAGACAGAAAACCATTGTAAGCAAAATGGAAGAAGCTTCTCATGGACTAAAATTATTTCCGGATGTTTCCTTGGGAAATGGTGGTGAAACAAATGGGAAGCTCTCATCTTGAGTCCTGTCCCACTTCAGCCATATGAAGTTGAGCTACCTTGCACTTACATGACTACCCAGGGTTTGGCTTCATCCTGGTTAGTTTTTGTTTCAGAGAAGGACTGAGGACTGAGAAAAGAGCAGAATGCACCCAATGGTCTTTCATGTGCAGCACTTCCCTGTGTTTGCAATATTCCTCTCTTCAGTTGTTCCCAGGGAGGAGAGAAGGTGCCCTGTGTGCCTGCACAGATCTGTTTTCAGGAGGTGAAAATTTGTGTGTGTGTGCATTTACTTCAAAATCCCTTTCTTCCATGGCAGTGTTCTGGCATTCCCTGGAGTTCAATTGGACACTGTTCTTAGTTCAGCTGGGCAGACATTACCAGAATCCCACAAAAAGACACTCTTTTTTTCTCATGCTTAATCCTTTTTACATGTGGCATTTACATGTGTACTGGTCTTGCTGAACAGCAGGAATGGACAGTTCTAACAATAGCTACTACAGAAGTGTAAATTCAGAAGTTGGCATGAGATTATCCTGGAGTCTTGGCCAAGAAAACAGGATTAGAGTTAATCCTATAACAAACGTGTTTGGCAATTTAAACAAAGTCCAAAAGTTTTTAAGTTTGACTCAGCTCTAACTCCCCTCAAACAAACAAAACCTTCTTGAATGCCTCGATCTGACACAGTGGTGTCAGTGCTGTGTGTGCAGTCCCTGAGTGCAGCTTCCCACTCCTCACTGGTGTGACCTGCTGGCAGGCTGCTTGCTCCCTGGGGACAGGATGGTGTGATGTTGCATTCAGTCAAAATTCAGAATGTCTCCTCTTGGGGCAAAAGTTTTAAGTTCGGGTTTACCATCCTGTGACTAACAAAGCAGAGTGCTTTCATGGGGAAAGGGGAGATGCACTTCAACTAGGACTGGCCTTGAAGGAATCTTCTCTGCAGATGAGGAGCCATCCCTGCAAATCCACCAGAACGTGAATAAACTTATTTTATATTTATGTTCAATTGTGTGAATTCCAGCTTTTTGTAAAGGGGCCTGTGAACTGGAAATGAACCTTGTGTGTAAGTTGTATTCTTGCGAGGCCCCACCTGCAGTGCTATATCCAGTGATGTCCCCAGCACAAGGAGGATGTGGAGCTGCTGGAGCCAGTCCAGAGGAGGCCACAGAGATGCCCTGAGGGCTGGAGCCCCTCTGCTCTGGAGCCAGGCTGGGACAGCTGGGGGGGTTCCCCTGGAGAAGAGAAGGATCCAGGGAGACCTGAGAGCCCCTTCCAGGGCATAAAGGGGCTCCAGGAGAGCTGGAGAGGGACTGGGGACAAGGCATGGAGGGACAGGACACAGGGAATGGCTTCCCACTGCCAGAGGGCAGGGAGAGATGGGAGATTGGGAAGGAATTGTTGGCTGTGAGGGTGGGCAGGCCCTGGCACAGGTTGCCCAGAGAAGCTGTGGCTGCCCCTGGATCCCTGGAAGTGTCCAAGGCCAGGTTGGACAGGGCTTGGATTAACCTGGGCTGGTGGAAGGTGTCCCTGCCCATGACAGGGGGTGGAACTGGATAATCTTTAAGGTCCCTCCCAACCCCAACTGGTCTGTGATTCTGTGATTCTGTGATTCTGTGATGTGGTGCAGGGCCTCCAGGGCTCTCATGGATGAGGAGGGCTCTTGGAGCTTTGCAGTGTGTTGTGCCTTTAAAGGAAATGCATAAAGCAGCAAAGTCAGGCATGTGGCAGCCTGGGGCACAGGTCACACAGTGATGCAGGGTGAGAACTGGGAGCACGTCTGCTTTCCTGGGCATTGTCCTGCCCTGGCACACGGCCTGCACCCCTCCCACAGGGCTTCCCCTTACCTGGGAAAGAGGTGCTGGAGCTGGCACTGCTCGGGTGTGGTGCAGGGCTGGATGCTTTCTCTGCCCAGCAAGACACTGCCATGGTAAGATGCTTTGCTGGGACTGAGGAAAGATTGTGGGGAGGGAGCTTTGAACTATGAAAAAGAGATTAATTAATTAATACACACAATGAGACTTACTCAAAGTAGGAGTTAGGAGTGTTCCCCCTGGAGCAGCCAGCCAGCCAGCAAGTGTTGTGCTCTGCCTCCAGAGCAGTGCCACAGTGCAGGACCCAGCTGCAGGACAGGCTGGCTCCATCCTACTGCCTTGGGGCTGCTGTGGAGGGATGGGGACTGCAGGGGAAACGTTGGGAGTTCTCTGCAGAGCCCCTCACACGGGGCCCTGGGCACTGCAGACATTCACCCTTGCACTTCTGTGCAGCTGCTGCCAAAAGCCAAGAGTGGGGCAGGAGATCTCCCAGGTGCCTGTCTGTCCTCAGGTGGCAGTTCAGGTGGTTCAGTCCAGGCAGAACCACCACCTGTGTTTGACTTAAGCTTTGTGCTTTTGGGAACTGCAGCCACCTGGGGCTGGCCCTGCATGATCCCTCCTGAGACACAAAGGGAACAGTGGAGAGACCTGTGTTGTGGTGGTTTCTTTGACATCTTGGTATGGGTGTTGCTGGGCAGTGGGCCTCAAGGGAATGGAAGAGGTCAGGGTTATTGAGAAATAGCCTTTTAATCCTTCCTTATCCATCATAAAGCAGCTAAACTGGATATAAGCCATTTCTTTTTCCACTGCATTGAGTTGAATATTAGTGTTGTGGAGGTGCCTGTAGCCCAACCGCAGTACAAAGTACATGTCCTTCTGTGGGCCTGAGGTGTGCCATCCTTCCTGTAATTCCAAAATAGCTTCATGCTGGAGGTCAAGCGTCAAGCTTTAGAGCTGTCCTGTGCAGGGCCAGGAGCTAGACTTGATGATCCTTGTGGGTCTCTTCCAACTGAGGATATTCCGTGTTTCTAAGTTAACGCCACAACAGACAGTTCTACTGTTCTTTATTGCACCCCAAATACAAAGTTTGTTGTTGGAGTAACCTGCACAATGAACTGGAAACTTGATCATTGGTAAAATCCAAAAGCTGGCAGCAAAATAACTGTGGGTGTAGAGAGGTGGCTGTGGGTGTGTACATGATTGTCTGCCAGTCCCAGTTAGAAACCAGAGCGCACCTGGTCCTGAACTTCAGTGAACTCCATCATCTCCTCTGAGAAACCACCCACATCCACATGACAGCTCCTCTACCTGAGTATTGTCTGCCGTGATGATCTGCCTTATTATCTGTCTGCCACAGCTGCTGTCATTGCCTCCCACACCTGAGTTCTGCCCCCCAGCTCCCTCCTACACGAAAGCTTCCAGAGCCTTCAAGGGAGAAGGTCTTCACACTGAAATTCTGTCAAATCTGGTACTTTCCATGCCCTGGCTGCCTCGGCTGGGACCCTGTGGCTCTGCCTGCCCTTTGCTTTGGGAGCCTTCAGTCGAGCACTTCCTTGGCTCTTGGCACCCCTGTGTAAACTGGAGCTGCCTCCTGCAGGGCAGCGAGTGTCTCCCACCACATTAGAGATCCTAAGGCCCCTGAAGTGCATTAAAATATTTGTGGATTCATGATTTACATATGCAATTGCCCCCATCTTCCCTGTGCAACATGGGAATGATTTTATGCATCCTGTGCCTGGTGCTGAGGGGCTGCTCCCCAGTGCCTTATCCAGGGCTTTGGCTGGGCTCGAGAACAGCACTGGGGAGACCCCTCCAGCCTCAGAGTAAACCTGTGCTGGGGCCTGCTCTGGTTTTCCTCCTTACTGTTAATTAGCAAGAAGAAGTGTTTTCCTGATGTGTGGGATGTATGGCCTGGCTGCAGCAGACGGAGATCCTGCTGTGGGATCTGCCTAGACAGAAATATATTCATATTTAGAGCTGATACACACGTGCTGAACCCAGAAAGACTCCTGTGCCAGGCAAAGCCCGAGTGGCGGCTGTGCCTGGAGAACTGGCCAAGCCAGGCCCTGTAGGCAAGGGCCCCTCTCCAAACGCACTCTCTTTTCAGTGTGCTGGAGTTTTCTTTTACTCAGTGGGCTGTACAGTCTAGGTGTCCTAGAATCTGTAGAAGTAGGGGACATACGGTGTTGCCTCAGGATAAACACAAGACCCAGCTGCCACCTCCTAAGCAAGGGTAGCCCTACAGTTGCTGGTTCAAATGTGAAGACCCTTCCCCAAGACCCAGCCTCCCTCAGAGGTCAGGCTGGGGGCAGCTGTTCCAAAATGCAGGTGTTCAGAGGTGTTTTTCCTCTTCTCCCTTCCTTTTGGATAACCCAAAGGGAGACGTATCCCTGTGCACGGATGTGGCTGCCTGAGGGCTCTCAGCTGCAGGAGCAGCTTTGGACTGTGGGTGCCTCCTGAGCAGCAGCATCCTGGCAGGAGGGAATTGCTGGCTGGATGACATGTACAGTGAGGATACTATTTCCAGGAATATGTGTGCAATGAGGATGCTGTGACCTGAACTCACAACTCCAATGCATGGCTGGAGGCATGACTCCATGTCCTTCCAGCTGGGCTGAGAGCTGCTGAAGAGAACTAAGTGGGGAGGTTTTTCACGTGGGATCTGATTGATTGGCACATTTGGAAACCTCTGAATAGAGGAGGTTACTGCAGGATCTGTGTGTCTCCCCGGAGGTGCTGTTCCATTGAAGTGTGGCCTTGGCATCTCCCTGGCATATAAGTCAGGACCTCTGCTCCCACTCTGCTGGCTGTCAAGGGCAGAGGAGCTCATCCCCCGTGCTGCCCTGATCCTTTCGGTTGCAGGTTTGGAGGAAGCCCCACCCCTGCTTTGG